TCTTGTTGGGTACAGATATATTTGTGGTCACCCTCTGTGTGACCTCGTGTTCTCGACTATGGGCAAACACATATTTTCTGCTCTTTCACCTTCAGGAGAGGGAGGGGGAACAGAGGAGCAATGTCTGGTGTCATGGGGGGGGGGGGGGGCAGGCAGCATACTCCAGTTCTAAGCAGCATGTGTGGGATCAACAAAAGCTTTGATTGAGTTTCATGAGAGCTTTGTCCAATCACTGTTCCTTGGAGAAGTTGTCCTGTGTGACATTTGTGTTTTATTTCAATTTTCTGGCACAAGAACCGCACAGATTGTGTTTTATTCGTGACAGACTTTCATTAGTGTGTTTTATCTTGACGAAAAGCAACCACCTCCAAAAAATAAAATACAAACGCATGACACCACTTACAAATGGAAGATGGTTGAAGGACCTCCACAATTTCGGGTTTGGGTGAAATGCTCAGGTGTGATATTACCCGGACACGCCTGAGGAGATAAACTGCTGGGCTGGAAGAAGAGAAACGCCCGCAGCACATGCAGACCACTCTTACTGGTGGGGGGGGGTGGGTAACGGAGGAACTTGAAAGAGCAAATTAATGGGAAGCATTCATTCGTCACAGTGTGTTCCTGGAAGTCGATGTGCCGACAGGTAAGCCAATCTGTGGATCCTACCCCCTCCCTAAAACTGTGCTTAGCAATCACTGCTCTGATGGAGATCTGAGAGAGGAGAATCGAAGTGATGCTTGTCAGCCCAGTGGCAGCTCCAGGTGAGCGTGCTTGATGGCTGTGTGAACTGGAATTTTTTTCTTGCCAGTAACTGGATGAATAGACCATATGTGGTCTCACTGGACAGGAGACGCATTTCGGGAGCCCCCAGAGCATCAGATTTTCTCGTTGTCCGCAATGCCGCACCCAGCCTTTTTCTCAGGGACAGAAGATTCTGTCGATTTCTCTACCGCTTTATACCACGATATGTGTATGTGTGGTTCACCATCAAAAGTTTGGACACGCCAAGTTTCCTACAAAGGACAGTGATGTTGGATACCTGACCTAAACACAATAGAAATGGTTTTGGAGGAGTTTGACCAGAGCATGAAGGAAAACTAGCCAGTGAGTGCTTTGTATGTCTTTATATTTCTTTTATAGTATAGAGAATAGTGAAAATAAATCTTTCTATGGGTCGGTGTGCCCAAACCTTTGACTGGTACTGTCTATAGCTGTATAATATTAACGGTTATAATATAAAGTTTTATATAATAACGACAATTCAGTGGATCAGCATTTCAGAATTTAGTTCGCTGCGATGTGACACTTCCTGTTCATTATACGCCTGCTTCTGGTTTGCACTGTAATATACCACATTACAACTGCGTTACGGAACGTTTGTCATGGCTGCATTTGAGGAGAGAGATTGTACGTTAGTGCATTAGCATTAGCATGACCTGGGTTAGCATTAGCATGACCTGGGTTAGCATTAGCATGACCTGGGTTAGCATTAGCATGTGTCCTTGGTGTTTAGCTGCTTACTCACGCCTGTGGCAGAAAGAGGCTCCACGTGGTGGCTTGTCACCGTGGTTACACTGCACCTGCGATATCACGCCCTTGGGAGGTCGGCCTCAGTGGATGGAGGCTCAGGCAGGATCCGCTATTTGCGCTGAGGTTTGCACTCCTGCCGGTGGCCGCCACACCTAGCACTCAGGGACAGCGTGGATCAGAGCCATCACACACACACACACTCACACGTGCGCGCGCACACATACGCACTAGCAGATACGGACAGCCTGGCTGAACGTCCGCTAAACATAGCTGGATATTATCTGGTGACACACAAGGACCCCAAAGGTACTAAGAGACAGATGTCACATCCCCTCATTGTCGGATTTGTTTGGACTGTGACCTAATTCTGACTACGGGCTGCGCTCGCGATGGTGATCCGCTGACGGAGTACCGTGGGCACGCATCGCGCTCCTAGTCCCCAAGCCACTTCCACGGGCTTCCAGCTCGCGCCGGACGATCTGGATGATGCTCCGGAGCCCTCGTCCTGAACCCGGCAAGAGTGAACAGAGGAACTGAGCAGTGCTGTGGAATGAAGGCAAGAGCTCAGAGGTAGGCAACACCTGGGGGCATGAGGGGACAGATGCTAGGGGGCGGCCCGGAGACAGGTGCGTAACTTGTTAGGCATAGAGGACAGAAATGACCTGTCCGAGAACCAGTTGGGCTCCTTAGCTGATCAGGGTGTGAAAAACGGAATGGACTCTCTGTTCTGTAGGTGCAGGTGAGCTGGAATCGGTCGAACGTGTACGTGGTTCTAAGAACTGTCTCACCAAAATGAAAACGCCAGCCGTGGCTCGTGAGGTCAGCAGTCAGAACGGGGTTCATTAACCAGCGGCCGAGTCGATTCCTTTGTGGCATACTTTCTCACGCAGTGCCTGGCACCTGTATTTTTATCCGCTTTGCCTTTTAGCCCACGGTAAGTCCGTTGGACTATCCGCTCATTTGGTGGTTACCTCATCCCCAACTTTGCATGGCTTTCTTTTGTCTTCCTGCGATGGAGGAACAGGAGTTGTATTGTGGAACCGTCTGGGCTGACAGCCGCTCTCACAAAGCGGTTAGCATGTGCGTAAAAATGAAATCATGCTTTATTTGCCATTTGCACAATTACAGGTACATTGGAATGCTTCTTTTTTGATATCTCATCTTGATCTCTTTTGAGATACACATAAATAGATATCCAGTTGAGAGTGAAGGTTGGAATATGAGTGCAGGGTCATACCATTTTTCTGAGGTGAGGAAGGAGGCGGGGTTTAGGCATTCCAACCTGATTGGACAGGAAGTAAGTAAGCCTGACATACAGGGACAAGGCGAAGGGGTCTTATTGGATTACTGGAGGCCAGTCGCTTGTGCCCAGGCAAGACAGCGGTATTATGCTAATCCACGGTGCTCTATGTCTTAATATTGCCTAAGATCTGCATCCTGCACAGTCAGCCTGAGGCCAGACCGTACTGTAGATGTGCTGAGATTTACATTCTCAGTGCATCTGTAATTAACACGGCTTAGCCACAGCATTAATTACTCGGAGTGAATATTGCAGGGTGGTTCATTAGCAAATCACCTCTTGCCTTGAACAAGCCTGTTTAAACTCCATGGTTGTTTGGCCAGATATACACGTATATATCCTGCCTCTTGAGTGTTTTGACATTTCTGGCCAAAATGTCAAATGATTTCAGATCCAGAGACCCATATTGTGCAGAAAGTCTGTTTGGATTTTTTTTTTTCTGGATTGAACCAGCTATGGGTCTGTACCAGGTGGGTTTATAGAATATCTTACCAGCATTGGGGTTAGGGTCTGGGTGGTGGTGGGAGCTACAGTGTTATCTTACATTGTTTTTTCAATGGACATGTTTATTTAAAGTACTGTACAATTAAGAAGGCTGGGTCAGACAATCCCTGGAGTAATTGGGGGGTTAAGGGCCTTGCTCAAGGGTCCAATGGTGACATCACTCTCCAAGCCTGGGATTTGAACCACTGACCTTCCGATCACAGACACAGTGTCCTAATCCGGACCATGCTAGGTCCCCATTCTGCTCCCTTTGTGGCTACTCCGGTCCAGTCTGGCTTCCTTCTGGTTCATGCAGAGTAAAGTGCTTTTGCCTGAAGTGTCTGTCTCTAATCTCACCTTGGTCTTTAAGATCTTGCAGGATTTGTTCCTTGGCAAGGAAGCTCAGCACCTCCCTTTGAGCTGAGGACGAGCTGTCAATATGCCTTTCTTTTATTTTACATCAAAGGCTGTCATGTAAAAGCAAGAGATCCATCCCAAAGCGGAACTGCTTTGACATCTTCAGTCACTCTTCTGTTTTCGTTTTCTCCCTTTTCTGTCTTCTTTTATGGTTTTTTTTAAGTTAAAATATTGAACCCGGAACACTGGAATTCTGTGAACGTGGCCAAAAGGCCAAATTATTTATCACGTCAGAAATCTCACAAGATAAACAATAGAATTATTACTATTTATTCTACTTTTTTAAACCACCTGAGTATTAAATAATGTTAAACATGTTAAGCAGCAAATAGCAATGTTTGCACAGCACAGAGCTTTAGATGTTACTCAATACTCACTTCGGGGCCCCCTGCCCCCCCACTATAGTGGCTGTTTGTGATCAACAGGGGCCCAATACAAATGCATGGCTTCCATTGTGGTAAACAATGTTGCTGTGTAGATGGGTGAGCCAAATATGCCCATGATCGGTTCGGCTCTGCCTTAGCTAGCCACTGAGCCAGTAATATGTTGGCTCAGCCCTTCCACCTTAATTCCCAAGTTCTCCTGAAGCCAGACAGGAGGGAACTCCTGGACTTTCATCATCATGAAGGTACATTCACAGCATGGCTGCAAGCCATCAGGTCTCACAGGAGCCAGAACCAAGGAATCTGGTGTTTTTTTAACATGCAAGACGACGTGTCTAGTTGGCTCAACACACAGTGGCAGATGTCATGGGCGATGAACGCCGGTCAGGGCACCACCGAGCGTGCATGAGCCGTTGATATCAAGCCGATTTCAGTTTGTCAAATAGTGGCGACGTTCCAGAAACGGGATTCTGCGGCTTTGTTGGTGGGCGTGACAGTGAAGTTGCCATGATATTTATTACAGAGTCCCTTTTGAGGGAGCTAGTCCCTCCCTCCTTCCTCTTTGAAGTGGAAGAGGGTTGTTTTCATGCTGTGCGTTATGTACCCAAGGGTCACAGCCTCCACATCTGGAGGATAGGCCTTCCTCCCCCTTCACAGGTGCCCGGTCTCCAGGCCTACCTCTCCATCCCCCCCATGGTTCACCCTTCTATTCCCCAGCATCGCTACGGAACTGGGCCTGCCCACAGGGGGATCCCATCTGGCCCCAGAGGGTTTTAATTACTATGTGCACTATGTGCTGGGGAGCTCTCTCTCTCCATCAGATGGAAACAGGAGCAGGGGTGCCACAATTGCAGGCACATGCACCGCCTTAGATCTTTTATTGACTTCAGCTTGTTCAACAGCTCTCAGGGAGAAATGATAACAAGCCTTAAGAGTAGGTTAGTGATGTTTGTCTTTGGACTTTATATGACTTAAATCATAAAAACCTTTGGCTTTACTTACAGACTCCCCCATCCCGTCCCCTCCTTACACTTGGATATAATGTCAGATGTAATGGAAACTGATCTATCCGTTATAATCTGCAGACTTGTTCCATCACATGTGCTTGCAAGTTGACACCAAAATATTAACACTGCAAAATCAACACTGTCATTTCCACACTGGAGTACCATCAGCAGTATATCAGCACTAGCATATTAAAACTTGAGTATCATTGTCACGTCCCTCCATCCAGCCCTCTCACGTGCCACGCCCACCTTGTTACCCTCGTGTGAATTCCTAACATACTAACTGTCCTGCGTTCATTCTGATGTCGTGGCCTGTATTTAAGTCCGTGTTCAGTCTGTCTTGTTAGATCTGTCATTAACGTGTATACCGTGTCGTGTGCTACTGGCTTGTGTTTTCCCCAATAAATCCCGCATTTTGGGGTCCCGCTTCCCGACCTTCATTCCCCGGTTCCTGCGTGCACGACCAGACGTAACAATCATCACCGGCATATCAACACTGGAGTATCATCACTACCATATCAACACTGGTATATCAACTTTGGAGTTTTAACATTGAACATAAGAACATAAGAAATTTACAAATGAGAGGAGGCCATTCGGTACATCAAGCTTTTTTGGGGAGAACTCAACTAATAGCTAAAAGTTGTTAAAATCTTATCTAGCTCTGATTTAAAGGAACCCAATGGAACCCAAGCTTGCACTACACTAACAGGAAGACTATTCCATACTCTAACTACATGCTGTGCTTTCTCAAATCCATTTAAAAATGTTCTCCTGCTAAATTCCACCTATGGCCACAAGTTCTAGTATTTAAACTAATATTGAAGTAACTATTTGGCTGAACAGCATCCAAACCTGTTAGAATCTTATATACCTGGATCATGTCCCCTCTTAGTCTCCTTTGCTTGAGGCTGAACAGATTCAGCTCAGCTAACCTCTCCTCTAAGACCAGGAATCAATCTTGTAGCCCTACGCTGAACCCTTTCCAAAGCAGCAATATCCTTTTTAAGGTATGGTGACCAAACCTGCACATAATATTCTAGGTGGGGTCTTACCAAGGAATTGTATAATCTTAGCATCACATCCCTTGACTTAAACTCCACACTGCTAGAGATGTAACCCATTGCTTCCCCACACTGGTGAGACTGGGACAAGGAAGCATCAACATACACACTGAGGTCTTTCTCATAATCAGCTACCTTAATTTCAGTGGAACCCATAAAATATCTGCTACACCACCCACCTTTGTGACGTCTGCAAATTTAACCAGTTTACTGTATGTATTGGTGTCAATATCATTTTTGTAAATTTGGAAAAATAGTGGTCCTAAAATTGAACCCTGCATTACCCCACTATAAACGCAGGCCCACTGTGACATTGTGCCTCTAAAAACTACCCACTGCTTCCTGTCTGTTAACTAGTTTTTGATCCAAGCAGCTACAGTTCCTAAAATCTCTACTGCTTTGAGCTTAAGCAGGAGCCGTTTGTGAGGGACAATATCAAAGGCCTTGTGGAAAACTAAGTAGATCACATCGTAGGCCTTTTTGTGATCAATTTCTCTTGTAGCTTCCTGAAAGAACTCAAGTAGATTAGTTAAACAAGATCTACCTGTCTTGCAGTATTACCACTGGTAGATCAACACTGGAATATCAACAGTCATATGAATGTCATCTGAACATGATATTCATGAATCAATGCTCACATCTTACTAACCATAAATCACATGTTAACACTAGAATATCATCACCAGAAGATCTGATATGGAGTAATAACAATGGAAGATCAACACTAGTATGTTAACAATTGCAAATCGCAAATTCATGTATCAGCACTTGCATTTCTACACTCGCTTATCAACAATCACGTCAGCGCTCACAAATCAACAATGAAATCTCAATAATGTACCTACACTTATGAATGATGGATATAACAAAACTCAGACATGAACACTGATATATAAACATATATAAACTGGTATTTCAAAACTCAATCATCAACAGACTGATATCAACATTAAAATAGAGACGTCTATGTATGATACTGTAAAATAAGATGAAGGGTGGAGGGAGCTGTCAGAAAAGCAATCAGCGTCGGCACCTACAGCTACGGTTCAGGTTTCTCCTCCTCAGACACCCAATACGGGCTCGTGCGTGTCACGTTTCCCTGTGGAAGGGAAACCAGAGCCTTCAGGGAGCTGGAGCTTGGATTCACGTAGCCTGTCAGCACAACAGTCACATGCAGCCAGACCCATTAACAGCGCGGTACGGGGAGCAGCCAGGCGGTGCATTTTAAGCGAACACTCAGGGCACCTGAGTGACCACTGAAGCGATTTGTGCTGCTTTGACTCACAACACCTTAATGGCTGGGACCTCTGGCAGAGGGTATGAGCGGAAGAGCCCCGATCGGCGGAGAATGTGCAGCGTAATTCGTTATTGTCTTCAGATTTAATTGCTCTGTAAGAAGGTCATATAGCCTGGAGCAGCGTCATTTCCCTTCGGTCCTGAATTAATTGGTTATAATCACCTGTCACATAAGCAAGGAAATAAAATGTTTGAAACGTAGGCCTTGGTGATCATGTGACTTCGTAATCCACCTACTTCCCGAACCATAGACGTATTGGTGCTGGTTGGTAGTTGCTTTTGTTGTTTATCGTTTCACTGACTACTGTCTGAGGGTCTAACCAGAGGCCTTGGTCCACAGGTCAGACCAAGAAAAAGATCTGGATTTCATCTGAGAACTCCAGCCTTAGAGGAGTTTGCCAGAGGTTTCCGTCAGCACGCCCTTGAAGAGGATGAAAAAATCGCCCGTGAGTCACCTGACCAAGAGCACACCTCCCCACCCACCACACTTTGGTACCCGCTGGCCCAACTGTGCCGCTCCCTTGCTAACTGACCTACTTTCATTTCAACCCGCCTCTCGAAAGTGGATCGGAGTGGCAGATTCCAAAGCGGCCTGCTGCCGTCAACCATCGGAATCATTTAAAACAACAAGCGCAAAATGATCCAGCCCCCTAACGCTGCTCTGCTTCAGTTTATCTCCAGCCAGACAGATCGTGATGCAGCGCACTGTCACCCAAGGCTGATACAAAATGATAACATCGCTCACTTTCTCTCTTCATTCCGGCCGCATCAGACACATCCGGACGCTGCTCTATGCCACCCCACAGAGAGACGAGTTCCGGGTTGTTGGTGCCTTTTATGTATTCATCTTTTGCCTGATCTGCTGCTGATTATCTGCGGAGGGAGCTGGCGTTTCCACCACGATCTGCACTTAAGCCGCTCGTCCACATACCATGCTGGACCCATGCTGACACACGGTTTTAAAAGGCTGGCCTCTCCTTTGTGGCCGGCTGGGTTCCGGCTCTGGGTAATTCTTTTGTCACTGAGCCGTGTGGCCCTGAAGCCTGTTTGGTCCTCACTCGTTTATAGGGTATGATCAAAGAGGCGTGTTGTGCCTTTGAGGCAGATAGGCAATTAAGGCCCGTCATTCAAAAGTTTGAGTTTGCAAAAAAAAACTCAACACAAACCAATCTAAATCTGTGGCTACAGCTATTTATATTGTATACCCAAGTTCCTGAGTCCATTTCAACCCGTTTCCCCCTATTAGGGATGATTCTGAGTACCTTAAAAAGAGGTGATCTCTGGAAGGGACCCCATATATAAAACAGAGTTTTAACCAGACTTTTGTGAATTATGTGCCATTAGTGGGTCATTTAATGACGGCAGAGGTGGACAACACTTTCAATACCAGTGTGATGCACATACTGTAGTAGCAGCACCAGTGAGACACCGTTTGGTGACGTTGAGGACAGCTGAGACATAGGGCAGTACTTCCCCCCCCCGAGGGGGCTCCTCTTCTGGTGATCCAACCATGTTGCTTTGGCCGCCTTTGGAAAGGGAGTTTTTTACAGGATGAATGTACCATCCCAGGCAGCAGGTCACCTGAGCATTCTTTCCCTGAAAGTGTTGCCGCCACCCCCACCCGTCTATCCCTGCCATGTACGGATTACCCGTTTGGTATTGTTGTGTTATGGAGATCGCGGACCGGGTGCTATGGGAGGGGCTGGAATGGTGTGGTGCTGAGTGGAGCAGTACACCGTGACGGGGAAGGAGGTGGGGCATCTGCAGCTACCTCACAAGCCAGCAACAGTCACAGCTCCTTCACCAACCTGCTCCCTCTCATCCTCCATTCTGCCTACACTCCATCCTCCTCTCTCTCTCTCTGTCTCTCCGTCTCATCTGGGCCAGACTCAGAATTTGAACGGTTCCTGAGCGGATCCTCACAGACTGGACACCCACTCAAGGAGAAGTCCCTCTCCATTTCCAGCAACACCTCCGCCCAGTATCCCTGTCTCCCATAGCTCCTGAGCCTCACCCTTCCGGCATGTCTCAGGAAGATGACAAATCCCGCTGCAACGGGATCAAGAAGCACAGGTGAGGCACATACATGGAGGTAGTGGGCGAGTAACGGTGTGATGCGGATACAGTGGACAGAGAAGTACTTGTATTTTGCTGTTACTGACAGGAGGAGTAATACTATATAGTTTGTCTGGGATTGATTGAGAGTGATGAGTAACAGGTGTTTGGGGGTCAGGTGTTGGTTAGGTTGCCAGCTTCCGTTCCCATGCTTGCCCTTGATGTCATCCACGTTGTCCCTAACAATAAGCCAGAAAACAGTTTTCACTTTCACAACGATGTCAGGGCATTTAAAGGCATAAAATCCATGTTTCCGACGTCTCAAGACCTGAGTGCGAGTGGGAATTACCAAACAGTGGGAAATTGGTATTTGTGTTGTGCCTCTACCGGTTTACAAGTCCACGGACAGAGCAGAAGGGATCTGGGAGGTGTGGCATGACCCTGAAAGCAGATAACTTTGAATCGAGTTCTCTCCAGGTTGAAATCGAGCAACATTGCCCCGGAGAATAGGAAATAGAGCAGAAATAGGGCAGAATAGTGCGTGATAGCCGTGGGAATAGCATTGGAATTTCTGTTGACGGCACGTGTCTGACCGCTCAGGTCAACTGCAGTTTGACTGTTGACACCTGGATGGTAAGTGTAAATCAGTGGCTGAAAGGTACATGCAGTGGAACTGACGTACCGGTTTTGATTCAGTCAAAGATGATGGAAGAACAGGGGCAATACGTCTCTGCTCATGAAGCGAGTCAGCTTGGTGATTAATCGTGATGTTTGAAAAGATGTGAATTTTGATGGCGCCCTATGTTTTTTTCCTTGGCCAATGGACTGCATTTCATGCCTGGCAGAGTGCCGACAGCTACCAGATACTATAAAAACAGGTGAACACCGAACTGATTTAGTCAGACATGGCCATTCAGTGTCTCATGGGTAAAATATCTTGTCTTTGGGACACTTCAAAATAGTCTAAGGTGCTTACACGCAACAATCATGCGCAGCAGTATTCATTGCACTCGTCATACCAAATATTTTTCGGGAATTAGTTTGTCATTTGCTAAAGTAAACCATTTGTCAAAAAGTCAAAAATGATCACAGTTTTGATAGCTTTAGAGAGTATGTGTTTTGAGGTTTTGAGATTTTACCAGTGTTTAAATGGGTAGTACATATATTTCAACACCATTTTTTTGTTTGGATTATCTGAGTACATTCTCGTCATCTCTTGGAAAAGGCCATGCAGGTGGTGCAAGAATCATCTTGGTCTGTATTATTTCAGTAAAGAGCTGCTCCAAAAACAGCATAGAATTTTTAGGGTAGTTAGGTGAACTGGGTGGGTAATCATTAGAACCCAAAAAGCTTTCTGCACTCTTGTTACTAGCGTTCTTCCTCATAGTGTTGGCCACACATTTACTACAAAGTAAGTAGCTAGGGCTTCTGTTTTAGTTCAATGGCAGTAATTCACTAGGCCAGATGATTCCGAAAGCTTTTTCCCACCAGGCCTGTAATATAGACTGTAGTTGATGGGTGTTCATTTTTCCTGGAGCGATGATTAAAAGTCCAACGGAACTTGTCTTTTGGAGTTAATTTCAGCCACACTATCAACACAGGCATACACTATGAGATTGGAGTCTCTCGGTAGCAAGGCTCTGGACTTTAATCCCTGCCAACACGCACCACTTATGGTGGGGGAGAGGGCACCTCCCACCAGCTCATCATCTCGGTAAGGACCGAGTGTAAATAGAGCCAATTTTTCGAAATCTGTATGTTGCTGAATAGGTTACACATCTGTGTCTGTGTGTGCAAGGTCATGGGTTTGAATCTCACTGCCAATAGAGTAATCGTATTGCCGTCGGGCCCTTGAGCGAGGCCCGTAATCCCAAATGCTGGATGCCGGCTGACCTTTCATTCTGACCCCAAGCTTTTCTCACATGGATGTCACTTTGCAGAAACATAACTGCAATGTAAATAAACATAAATGAAGCTTAGACGATGGAAGGAAATCAGTCACTGCCCTTCCCCTAGCAAACATTGTTTTTCAGAGATGACTACCTTTTTCAGACAGATGCTGGTTATACTGATGGAAGCCATCATTTAGGTTGATCATATTTTATTATTTGTTGTCACTTCACATTTTAGTTGCATTTGTTTGTTGTTCAGTTGATACAACAATTAGGACCCAAGACATAATCCGTTCATCGAGGCCAAGGTATAATTCTTTCATGAGTCCGCCAAGAAAAATGGGTGAAAATCACTTGGCCTACTGATGTTGACGATGTTGTCATTGTCACAATGGAACACCTGTTCACCCAACTTTTCCAATTCTTTGTAAGGTGTAAGACAACCCCAGACTGTGGTTTGACAGGCCATGAATATGTTAGCCTTCTCTGAGGAGAGTGTTTAGGAAGAGCTGTGACGCCATTACGAGGGCCACGTCGTCCTGCAGAAATGTGAAACTTAATCTCAGACTGATAAGAACAGAAAAATGTACATGGCATGGGGTCAATCACTCAAGCAAATTGACCTTACAGAGGATTTAGCAGGAGTGATGCAGTCTTTTTCCACCAATACAATTGTTTTCATTCGTTGAATGTCCTTTGGTGTATTTGTGGAACCTCATCAATTGCCTGAGTAGGGTAGCCTGAAGGTATTTTACCTTGGGAAAGGTTTGAATGTACTTTTCAAACAATTTACTGCTGGATTTGCCAGAAAGTGCAGCCTTGATCCAAAGCGACACAGAGTTCTGTAGAAACCCATATCTTCATCGGTACTCTGGCTGCCAGCGAACGTTTACACCTCTCCTTCTGATCATTTTAGTCAACACATGTTCAAGACAAGGTACATCCTTTTTACATCCTATGAGGAGGATTCAGGGTGGCTTTGACCAGACCACAGTGTTTCTTCAGTGATTTAAAATCTGAATAGATCACTTCAGCTAAGTTGAAAGGGTACAGAGATTTAAAACCTACACACCAGACGCATTCCTCTGCTTGGATTTTGTAACGCAGATGAATTGCAGAAGTTCCCAAATAGGGCTTCTCACAGAGATAGTGACACAAATAGTTGAAATCATAATAGAGAGGATAGTACCTCAAGGTCTTGTCCAGGGGCCAAATTGTTTCCACTTTCGTTTATCACAACATAACTTTCCAGAGTTTTTCTGGACATTGTACCAAAATGCAGACACACATATCCAGGTCATTGTTGAAGGTCAAATTAAGCAGCCTAAAAACTTGAAAGTCACCCCAAATCTCTGTGTAATCAGAATTGCCTCTGACATCCTTATGAAACTGAAACTTGGGACTGAAATGCGTGGCATTCATAACCAAGCTTGGTAACCATTCCTGATGTCCTGGCAGCCATCAAAGCCACCGTCACCGTTGTTTTGACCCAGACCATACAGTTTTGCCCTCTCTGACAGCTTGTGTTTTTATGATTTCGTGTCCCCTTCAGCAGTTATCATTCCTGCACTGATTTCCAGTTCCCCCTCTTTCGGTTAAATCAAACTGAAAGAGCTTTTGACAGATATTGGCTGGCTCAGGATGTTCTGTTGGTCCCACCTGATCAGTCTCATTATGCTAGGTGTGTATTCAATGGCTCATCTTCAGTGTCCTTGTCCCTTGAGTCCATTTAGAAGTAGGAATCCTGCCCCTCCCTCATTGAGCATGGGCTGTCCTTCCTGTCTATAGGCTCCAGTGACGTTTGGGCTTCCCAAAAGCCAGATATTGTTTCAAGTGACCGCACATTGTTAATTTCGCCCAACCACCCCTTGGTGAATAATTTAGAGTAATGGCTTGCATGAGAGAGTTCAGAGAAAGGCACGCTAAAACGGAGCAGCCGATTCAGGCTGGAGTAAATGATTTATGAGTCACCACGTCTGTAATCAACCCTGCCATTCAGAGACTCCCTATCTGAGGCAGAGCAGACAGTTTGCTTGACATCACCTTGCAAAACCTTTTTTGACCAAACTTTCCTGGGTGAAGAACTGAGCAAACAAGTCAGCTGTAGTAATTATCGCCGGCTGTGGACAATAGTCTTAGGGTGTGATAAGTGAGAGTTTAAAGCCAGCATAGACTTTGATGTTCTCCATTTTAAGACTCGAGTTTTACATCAGCCATTTTCTTAATAAAATGTTTCTAACAATGGGATGGGTTTTCTTGTCACTGGAGCTGGCCTGGTAATATGTGCTCCAGAACCTGAATTATTGGCTCTGGATGCAAAACGGAGCTCATTTTGACTTGAAAAAGGAGCTTCAGCTTCTGCATTGTATAGCTAGAAAAAGTCCAAGAAATAATAATAATAATAATAATAACACTACTACTACTTCGACTGTAAGAATAAATACTACTGCTAATATTATTATTATTATTATTATTATTATTATTATTATTAACACTACTACTACTTCGACTGTAAGAATAAATACTACTGCTAATAATAATAATAATAATAATAATAATAATAATAAAACCCAAATTGAGGGAATGGTGATGGAGTTTCCTGCTTGCAGGCATTTGAGGGATGGCCCAGACTGGTATACACTGGGCAATTTGTTCAGTCTGTGGTTGTGACATTGTCGGTGTGTAGTGTGATCAACAATCAGTGAATAAATTAGCTCTGTGCTTCAAAATTTTGGACATACACCATATGGACAAAAGTATTAGGTCATACCTCTTACACATTGAATTCAGGTGTTTCATTCAGACCCATTGCCACAGGTGTATAAAATCAAACGCCTAGCCTTGCAGTCAGGTTTACAAACATTTGTGAAAGAATGGGTCGTTCTGAAGAGCTCAGTGAATTCAAGCTCGGTACTGTCATAAAATGCCCACTTTGCAATAAGTCAGTTTGTGAAATTGCTTCCCTGCTAGATATTCAACGGTCAACTGTGAGTGGTATTATTGCAAATTGGAGGTGTTCAGGAATAACAGAAACTCAGCCACAAAGTGGCAGACCACATAAAGTAACAGAGTGGGGTGGACGAGTGCTGAGCCGCTCTGTTGACTCAATAACTGCAGAGTTCCAAACTTCCTCTGGCAGCATGAAAACTATGTGCTGGGAGATTCATGGAATGGGTTTCCACAACTGAGCAGCTGCATGCAAGCCTCACATCACCAAGTGCAGTGCCAAGCGTCGGATGGAGTGGTGTAAAACACGCTGCCATTGGACTCTGGAGCAGTGGAAACATTCTGTTGAGTGACAAATCATGCTTCTTTGTCTGGCAGTTTGACGGACCTATCTGGGTTTGGCAGATGCCATGAGAACGTTACCTGCCTGACTGCATCGTGCCAGCTGTACAGTTTGGTGGAGGAGGGATAATGGTATGGGGTTGTTTTTCAGGGGTTAGGCTGGGCCCCTTCGGTCCAGTGAAGGGAACTCCGCTTCAGCATACCAAAACACTTTGGATAATTGTATGCTTTCAACTTTATAGGAACAGTTTGGGGAAGGCCCTTTTCTGTTCCAACATGACTGTGCCTCAAAAACATGATTGGGTGAGTTTTGTGTGGAAGAACCTGACTGGTCCACACAGAACCCTGACCTCAATCCCATTGAACACCTTTAGGATGAACTAGAACGGAGATTGTGAGCCAGGCCTTCACGTCCAACATCAGTGCCTGACCTCACAAATACCTTTCCGGAGGAATGGGCAAAAATTCCCACAGACACATTCCAAAATCTTGTGGAAAGCCTTCCCAGGAGAGTGGCAGCTGTTATAGCTGCAAAGGGGTGGGCAACTCCATATTGATGCCTGTGGATTAAGAATGGGATGTCATTCAAGTTCCTGTGGGTGTAATGCACTGATGTAGCCAGGAATCTTCGACGGGGGGCGTGCATATCCAACTGCGGCATGGCTCAACCTATTTTCCTGTTTTTTAAGAACAGGTTTTTAACAATAAATTGTATATACTGTATTTTAGTATTTTAGTAAAATGTCTGCAATTATTGTATCCATAATTGCAGACATTTTAGCGAATTCATTGCGATTACAGTGATTTAATTGCCAAAAACTGAACTTCGGAATGTTGTTGAAATTGATGGTCTGGATTTGATGGTCAGGGTTAAACTGATGTTCTATTTGCTGTGCGATTTTTAATTCCTTACAGTACAATTAGTTGTTACCAGCGTGTACGAAACGCCAACGAACCGTTACTGTCACAACATGTATAAATAAGTAAGTAGACTTCTAATCATGAGTGCAGGACTCATGGGATTTCACGAGGATGGGGAACACGTACGCACCTTATGCACTGTGTATGGCTATGCCACTGTTCACTAGTATTTTTGTCTATGTAGTGTATGTGGCTCTGGTATGATGTTTTGGCCAGTTCAGAGAATATGTAGATTGAAACGTCATTTTTGAGTGTTTCTGCTGCATTGGAAGCAGATGAGATGTGACGTAGAATGTTACAAATTAATCGTTAAAGGGGAAACAGGACGCACTGTGCATACAGCTGTGCATTACCTGTCCTGGTGTTCCCATTCCCGTCAAAGAGCTTCTGGATCATTAGCCTGTGGCTAACTCAGCTTTATTGTGAGCCATTCGGGCCATATAAACTGCACCGCAGGATACTGCAGGCCTCCATGTCTCGTCGCAGTGCGTTAGCCAACGACGTTCGGACTTCCTGCACTCGTGCATTATGGGTCGAGCGTCGGCTGTTCTCCGGTGGTGATTTCCTGTCCGGTGTATGTTCTCAGAACTACCCTGCCAGTGCCAATGATATCCCGGAATGATGTAAGCATCTGGAGCATCCTTAAAAAGTGCATCGGGATGGTGAGTGCCCCCTCTGTTTTGAAACCCCTCCATCCCCCCTCCCGTGCTGGATTTAGAGGCTCTGAGAGGGGTGTGTAGTCAGCGATGGATTAACAGAATCCCGAAACCATACGGTGTTTGTTGAGCTCACGATGCGATTCCTCTTCAGCGAATATTGTTAAGGACTTTGCAGATTCGACACACACCTGGTCCCGTTTCCACACTGTCCTGCCCCCTGGTCCTTCATGCCGGGGAAACGCCCATTTCATTATGCCGCTAATTCTTTCCGAAGCTCATTATATTATGAGTTTCCCGTTGGCTTGTGGCCAGAAATTTTAATCGTCGCAAACAATTCTTTTGTGATTCGTGGCACTCAGAGCGGGATCGGCAGTGCACACACGATATTCTGAAAAATGGGACCAAATCAAAAAATGTATTTTAATTAAAAGCCGTTATGGACTGTTCCTGAATGCCGAGAAGCAGTTATGGTACAAATTGCTGGCTGACCCTTTTCTAGCTAATGCAGAGCCAGATTCTGGGCATTTCAATCTCTGCCTATATATAGGGGCAACCAAGCTCTTTTAATCAGCACACATAAAGTCAGATTTAGAGGAACTCAAAGTAAGATTCGGCCTGTACAGACATCCTCAGAACCTGAGCATGTGGATGAGCAAACCACCTCCCCCCCCCCCCCATTCCAGCCTTTGCCGATGTTACAAAAATAAACATCAGAAAGTTGGCCTGCTTAATTGCTCAGTTTGGCATTATTTCACTGCTTAATGAGGATGCTTTAATCACTTGCCTGTGCTCTGATGTCTTTATAGCTCAGTTCAATGTTTTTTTCCATCTCAGCAGTTTCTGTGTTCCCTCTCTCTCTCCCGGTTGCCATTTGGTACTGTTGGTGGGGGGGGGTTGACCAGCTGCTCTCTCTTTCTGTTTCTATCTCATGTGTTCCTCACCCTCCGTGTTCTCCAGGAGCTGTCCAAGATCACCATGCCCGTTGTCTTTAACGAGCCGCTTAGCTTCCTGCAGCGCATCTCAGAGTACATGGAGCACACGTATCTTATCCATCAAGCAAACAGCTCGTCCGACTCCATCGAGAGGCTAAAGGTACCACTCAGGGGCGTAGGAACTGGGGGATGGGGCTCATGCATCCCTCCAATAAACAGGCCATTGTGTTTAAATAATTAAGGTTTGTTTCCCCAAATCAGAAACTCTATCCGATGCTTTTGGTATTGCCCCAAACCCTGCCTGGTCCATCGTGGTCATGTGCTGGGTGGGGGACCACTCATGACCTCACGTTGCCCAGGCAACCATAAATGATGTTGTTTGTGCGTGACTGAGCATGTCCCAAAAAATGCTGGAATTTGACCGTGTGTGCCGGTGTTGGTCACCGCACGTGACCATTTAGAAGAGCATGTGAAGATCCCCCATTTGGTTACGGTTGCTTTGAACGCACTAGTGACGGTGATTGATTTGTATCGCGGTGCATTTCCAGTGCGTGGCTGCGTTCGCAGTGTCTGCCGTGGCCTCGCAGTGGGAGAGGACGGGGAAACCCTTCAACCCCCTGCTGGGAGAGACATACGAGCTGGTCAGGTAGGACTGCACCAGTGTGGGCGGTGTGCCGTTCGGGACCGGAGAGGATGGGATAAAAATGCCGTTTATCACTTTTACCGTTAACCTTCCACTTTGCTGATGACTTTGTCTGCTGGATTTTTTATTATTATTACTTTTTTTTAGTTTTCGTTGAGTGCGTGTTGCTCTACATCATTCTTTCTCAACGTGGTCCTCAGGGACCCTGAGACAGTCCACACCTGAACCAAACAATCAAGGACACTAAATGCATGGTACAGGTGTTCTGGCTGAAACACAGTGCGGGCCGTCTAGGGGCCCCTGAGGACTGGGCTGAGCAACACTGTTCCTGATGATGGTGTCCTGATGTGACGGGTATTTGGTGCCCTTCAGAGAAGACCTGGCCTTCAGGTGGATGTCGGAGCAGGTGAGCCACCACCCCCCCGTCAGCGCCTTCCATGCCGAGGGCCTCGGGAACGACTTCGTCTTCCATGGCTCCATCTACCCCAAGCTGAAGTTCTGGGGCAAAAGTGTGGAGGCTGAACCTCGAGGGATCATTACCCTGGAGCTTCCTATGTGAGTCCCCACCCAGGCAAGACCCCCCTCACTGAACCTTCGGCCATCTGTATCAATCAATTGATCAACTGACATTCACTGTAATGATCAGTACAATGTGCAGTGAAATACTTGGTTGCCTAGCTACAGAACTGTGAAACAAGGGACATGACTATAAACAGACAAAACATTAAACATTAAACAACTAACATTAAACATTAAACAATAATCATAAATAACCATGATAATAAATAATGCTGTCATCTTTTCCTGACTGAATTGCGTCTGTCAAGTCGAGTGACTTGACTATACAGCATCCCCTCGCACCCCCCCCCCCCCCCCCCCAAAAAAGTGCTCTGAAGCTCAGTGGTGTGTGGAAATGCCTCCGTGATTGTAGGTGACGTTCTGTGTCTGCAGGCACAATGAAGCGTATACGTGGACGAACCCCATCTGCTGTGTCCACAACGTCGTCGTGGGCCAGCTGTGGATCGAGCAGTATGGAAACGTGGAGGTGGTCAACCACAAGTAAGACGAGCGTGAGCGTGGCGGCTAGTGGGCGATCCGTCATGTCCGTCCTCTGAGAGGAACGTAATTGAATTAAATTAAAACAGAAGAGTGCAATTGATTCATCCAGAATGTGTGCTTTTTTTTTTTGAGATGTTTGGCAAACAAATTAACTAGAACAATTTTGTCACAAAGTGAATCAGTAAAATATGTGTAATCTACCAGGGTGACAGCTACCATTACTTGGTTATAATGAATAAAAGTATGCAGTTTTCTCATTACTGAGCAGACAAACAGAATTTGTTTATAGAATTAAATTCTTATAAAACACTAAGACCATCACCCAATGCACATCACGCAAATCACTGCGATTTTACCCACAATGCCAGAGTACAGAAATCTGAATGCCGGCATTGGGTCAGGGCCAAACATGGGCACCCTTTTGATACAAATGAATGTGAAATGCTTATTCTGACTGTGTTTCCGATACAGGACGGGAGAGAAATGCAGCCTCACCTTCAAGCGGTGTGGTCTGTTCGGTAAAGAGCTGCACAAGGTAGAAGGGTACCTGCTGGATAAAAGGTGAACGTTAAATCCCACAGCCCCGGTGCTAGGACCCAGCGGCCTCCGCGACACCCCATGTGACCTCGTGGTGTCATGTGACGCATGTGTCTCCCGATGCAGCAAAAGGAAGCTGTGTGCCCTGTACGGGAAGTGGACCGAGTGTCTGTACACAGTGGACCCGGCCGTGTACGATGCCCACAAGAAAGCAGACAAGAAGAGTACTGAAGAAAAGAAGGGGGCCAAACCGGTGAGGGGGGGCCCAGGAAGGGGGGGTGCCTGCTACACTGGTGTCACCATGCCTGTTTCCATCATCGCTGTGATTATTTTGACACCACGCATCATGACCACTCAGTGTTTCAGGCGTTGGTCATGTCCTCTAGGACCAACGCCACACAAGCCTGTCGTCTTTTAATTCTCTTTGTGCTCATCGGGCATCAGAATAGTTGGTAGTGCCACAGCAGAGACAAACCAAAACTTGTGCAAATAGTATTTTGGAGTTAATGGGTTCTCTCCCCGTACCTCAGAGGTCTCGACTTCCGTGCCTCAACTTGGTAATGGTGTTATAAATCTGTCACATGTTTGTTGTCTGTGGAGTGAGTTTCTATGCGTGCCTGGGGGTTCTGTCCGCCCGCTGCAGCACGGCTCGGATGAAGAGTCTGAGGAGATGCCCATTCCGGAGTCGGAGACGGTGCCGGTGATCCCGGGCAGTGAGCTGCTGTGGAGGATCACACCCAGACCCGAAAACACCGCACAGGTCAGAGTCCCAAAGTACATAGTCCCTGTGTGACCGGTGGCCAGGGGAGGTGTTTATCGCCCCCTGTTGGCCACAGACAGTCACTAAACTATCAAATAAAAATATTCATTATTCAGGAGATGCTGAAGCAGCATGTTCTCACCAGCTAGCTAGCAACAATCTTCTGACTCTGCTTGCTAGCTGTTTATTTAGTTTTTCAGACATCTGGGGAGGGAGGTATGATTTTTTTGAGTACCCATGTCTGCCCCCTCCTGGACATCGCTGCTCATTGCCTGGTTCCCTTGCCCCTCTTGCAGATGTACGCCTTCTCGACTTTCGCCATGCAGCTGAATGAGCTGGAGGATGGCATGGAAGGGGTGATCCCAGCGACGGACTGCCGGCTCCGGCCTGACATGCGAGCGTTCGAGAATGGAGACATAGGTACTGTCAAAAACAGCTTAACAACAAGACTCACCCCCCCCCCATGTCCCACACCATGCCCCAGCGATATCTTTGTAAATGTTATACCTTCACAGCTCCAATGTCCATTAGGATCCATAGATGCTTTGCCATTTACGCCTCTTTGATCTGTTGCACTGTTACGATTTTGCAATGTTCAACAAACACATATGCTTCTGGTCTCATTCATGTGTATTCTATGTCTTTTTCTGGGTGTCTCTATATCTATTATCTATTATCCCTGCCTGTGCATACACCCCCCCCCCCCCCCCCCCCCCCCCCCCCTCCAGTTGGCTTTTGAGTTTGACCCTTTGGGAAAAATAGCTGGGGACTCCTGCTGTATGCAGTACTGTTGACTGGGGTGCTCTGTGCACTATGACAATAAAGATTTATCCGCACTCCTTTAAGAAATTCAATGAGGGAATTTAAAACGGTTACAAATGGCCGAGATTTGGGTTTGATCATTGAGAGATTAGTATAGGGTGTGTATTGTTAAAAAAGCACACTTCGTGAAAATTCGCTTTGCGGAAAAATTTACAGAATCATCTGTCTTGAATTCCAAATTGATACCATTCTAAATAACTTAATACCCATTGAACACTATATGGCAGAGAAAATAAAGTATTAAACATATATTAACTGCAAAGTTTAACTGTACCATTTTACCAGGTGTCCCATTTTAACAATACTTACCCTAAAGGTGTTATAACTTGAATAAATTGCACTGCTTCAGTACAGAGACACACAGTTAGGTTAAGTACTGTTCCTAAATTGTCTATAGTGTATCATACTGTCTGTATGTGGCCCGGCATCCAGTCCAGCAAGTACCCCGGCCTTGTGTCCAGTGCTGCCTGGGATAGACTCCAGCCCCCCCCCCACCCCCACCCCCATCCTAACCAGGATACATGATTACAATTAAAATGGGTGGGTGCATGAATAGAGGAATGATTATACATGATAATCTATTTGTGTGCATTTTGTGGTGTTTATGGAATTGTGAAATGGTAAAATGGCAAAATGGTAAGATCTCTGGGGCGGCATGGTGGTGCAGTGGTTAGCACTGTTGCCTCATACCTTTGGGATCTGGGTTCGAGTCTCTGTCAGGGTCCTGTGTGTGTGGAGTTGGCATGTTCCCCCCTGTTGTGGGGTTACCTCTGGGTTCCCCAGTTCTCCCCCCCCTCCCCCCCCACCCCACAGTGCAAAAACATGCTGAGGTTGATTGGAGTTACCAAATTGCCCATAGGTGTGAATGGTTGGTTGTTCCTTGCCTTGTGCCCATTGGCTCCAAACCCCCTGTGACCCTGAATGGGAAAAGCGGTTACAGAAACCGTAAGGATGGATGGTAAGATCTCTCATGGCCTTTTTTTTAAAGATCAGGCCAGCAAGGACAAGAAGAGGCTGGAGGAGAAGCAGAGGACGTCGAGGAAGGAGCGCGCCAAGACGGGGGAAGACTGGAAGAGCAGGTTAGCGCGCCGGGTGACGGGCACCGTGCTCAGTGACGCGTCGCGGTGTTAAGTGTCCCCCTGTCTGCATGTGGCTCCTGTGTAGGACCGGCAAAATGGCGGTGCGGCTCCTTCCGGTCAGCAAAGGGCACGCTTTGATTTAATGACCCAAAACAGTCTGAAGAGCGTATCCAGGCAAATGCAGCTGCATCGCTAATGAATTCACAGTCATGTTAGCTGCTCGTTAGCAGACATGACCCTTTTGGGTCATGTGTACAGTGCACACTTTCTCCTGTCAGACCTCACGCCGTTTCCCTGTGCTGGCTGACTGTCGCGCTTATCTGCTCTGTACTGTGTGTTTGGTAATGCATTCTGTGTTGCTGGCACCCCCACGTGACCTGACAAGTAGCCCTGCCCTTGGGCCCAGGTTTGTCCCGCTTGATGCTGGCTGCTGTGGCTTTGGTGTGCAGTGCATGTGAGAGCAGTGCTGTAACTCCACCTACTGGAGCTGTGGAGCACTGCAACTGAGACCTAGTCTCCCATTCAATTTAAAGATGTATTGATTAGACCAGACGAATTCTTTTAAAAAGAAACATTTTGTAGATTTAATGCCATAAAGAATGTTAATAATTCAAAAATATTGTATTTTGCAAACATTGTTATCCATTACAATGCTGTGCATAAGTCTTAGGCAGCCAAAGAAAATGATGTGTAAATGATCTTCATGTTGGTATAAAACTATGATATTATGCCTGTCAAAGTGTGTCAGCTTAGCTGTTTCAAAACCTCTACCAAAATGACCCCATTATTTCCAGCAACCATACAACACACCCATGTATGACTCGACCACTAGCTCACCTTGTACAGATAATCAATATCTCATCGACTTATTTAACAAATTAAATTAATTAAGTGAGCTGGTGGTGAAATTTAACAAATTCATGGAATGGCTGAGGTGCCCCTGAGGAGAGGTTTGGGAAATTAAGCGGTGTTCATCTAGCCATCCAACAAGATATCAGTAACGTTTTGGAGAACAGAAGAAATATTTACTAGTTTTTATTGTTACTCTTAATTTGCATATGTTCTCACGTTAAATTGTGTTTTTTTGTTCCGAGCAAAAGTGCACTTACTACCCAGATAAATGCTTTAAACAGCCTAAGACTTTTGCACAGTGTTGTTTATCTGGTAGTATTAAGTTCTTTATGCATGTGACAGTTATTTCTATGTCTCCGATTGAACATTGTGGCCTGTGATCGGTTTTGTGTGATTTGTGATCAACTTGATTGATTATGGATCAGTAATTGGCCTGTATGGTCTGTGATCCGGCTTTATAATCCGTGATTATGTGTGATTAGATATGTCATACGCATACCAGCTTTACTGGTTTAACTGTTGTGCTCTTTGGTTCTAGGTGGTTCCACCAGGCACCCAACCCCCACAATGGTTCCCGGGACTGGATCTACTCTGGTGGATATTGGGACAGGAACTACACCCAGCTCCCTGATATTTATTAACTTCCCATTCCCATGATAAAGAGAATCTTCTCATGCTCATCTTCACAACTTGGAATTTAAACTTGTTTTTTTTTTTTTTTTTAAAGCTGTTTAATTTTTTTTTTTTACATGGCATTAATCTTTTGGGATTGTTCGCTTCTCAACCGAGAAATTGCGTTTGTATTAGGAGTCGTGTTTACGTCAGGAGCACTACAGAGGAACCAGCGGAGTTCCCCGTAGGATCGCTGTAGTTCACAGATTCGGTCCAGTTGCAGCATTGTGTGCATGAATTCATCTCTAACCTGAGGACCGATCATTGTGTCCTGTGACATATCAAAGGTCTCACTGAAGCAGAACCAGCTCATGCTCATTCTCCTGTTGTGACTGATCTGTAATTTGTGTACAGCTGTCTGAAAGGATGGGTTTGCTCCATCACTTCCACTGTTAGGTACAGTAGATACAGGGTTGATGTTACAGATAAGCCTCTTTACGTGCTCTCATTCCAGAATCCTACTTCAGAAATCATGTCACCATTGATACTACGTTTGAACATCTATTAATGATCTCATTTGGGTCTCATAAGGGTCTCATTTGTAAAATTAGTCCACTGGTTCTTCCCCATCTCTGTACAATAAGCAAACATTAGGTATAATTCGACAGTGGTGCTTACTTCCACCACGGTGTTGCAGTTTTTTGTTTACCTCAGAGAGATTGTGGTGTCCCTTTGTCACTTATGCAGAACAAACAGCAATATTCTGTGAATTTAGAAAACCCTGCCCTCTGACCGTTTGACCCCAACGGACGGAGATGTTTTACAAACTGACTGGGTTGTTGTGGTTTCTTCATGCTGCTGTGGTCCCCTTCCACGTTTTTTGTGAGCTGTATCGTGTCTTAAGAATGTGTGTGGTTATTTACTGTATGGACAGAACCGGCCCATGTTTTCTGAGCCGGAATAAATCTGTCAGGCATCACGCTGGCCACCTCACTTCCACCTGCAAAGAGCTGGGAACGTTGTGGCGGTGCCAGTCGAAGACCCAGGGTGTTCTTCAATACCGAGAATGTAAAGATCGTACTTGTGGTCTTGACAAGGGCAGTCTTGCTAACTTGCCTCCCAAGAATGAACTTGGGGCGCGATGAATCATGGGATTGTTCTCATTTTGCAAGCCTGCAACTGATGCATCCTTGATATTTGTGGTGGGGGAAGAACGACATCCGAGGATTTTTACCGTCCTCCGTACTTTTGTTCTATGCATTGGAACTGGTCTTCGGCAATGGAAGATGACGTAAAATGGGTTCACGAGAACACAAGTATGGTCAAGTACGCATATTGAGAAGCACCCCGTGTTGTGCACCAGGCAAACTTCACCACCGGCATGGGGAGGAGAGAGGAGGTGGTGCCGGTGGTTTGCTAAGCTGGCACCCCCTCAGAGATGGCCTCCGTTGTGTGCTGTTTGTGTGACAATGCTGTGAATGTTTCCTTTTGGCTCCGCCTCAGGGATGACTGGCTAATTGGATGGTCCTGTTGACAATTGTTGTAATTTCTGTTGACAGGAATTAGGCTTGATCGGGTTTGTCTGGCCAAGTTATCGGTCAGTTCAGTTAAGTGGTTTTAATCTGAAATAACTGGGTCAGTTGTCCACCCAGGCTTGGAGTCTCGGTGTTTATCACTAACCAATGGTTAACACTCTAGTTGATTAGTTTGAGTCATGTCTGCCATTTGTCTGTTGTATATTAGCTTAGGTAAATTCCATTATAAATATATAAAACTAACAGTAGGAACAGGCACAAGCGTGGTCCTGACAGATTAGTTTTCAACCGTTATGTACAATAAGTATTCCAAAAGAGTTTATATTGCTTCAAAATAAAGATTTTACCTTGCATCAAAAACATGTTCGCTCATTCATTAGGGCTTTGCACGTCATCTCTTGTTGTCTTCAGTCCTTGAGATAAAGCGTCTGTTTAGTACTGATAATGTGCCTCACACAGCCTTCCATCTTTTTGTTTGACATCTCACAGTTCTGAGATATGTATAATAATCTGTGAGTGTGTTGTTTATTCATTACGGACATCATGGACCACTGCAGATTTTCAGAAGTCCTGTTGGAATGCTTCCTGGACCTACCACCATATTTAACCCTGAACTCATTATCAGAAATGACTTGGATGAACACGGGTGAATAAACGACATTTACTGTATTGGTAAGAACCTGAAAGAGCTGCCTGGTTTGACATCTTGGGCCACTTAAGCCACCGGCTAGACCGAATGGGACAAGAAACTGGGAGGGTTTCTTGTCACCATGGCAGATGTTCCACATGCATTTCTTTGATCTTCCTCAACCATGTTTTCATCCAAGAACAGATAGCAATTTGGTATTTTGATGTCCAGATGAGATGGATACATGGTGCCAGACTTTTGAGGAACAGCTGAGATAACCTCTCAATGGACGCATGAGAGCTTGGGGTCCACTCAACTTTTGACTTGATTCCACAATAGAGAGTGGCTACAGTAACACTTTGGTGGAAAATGTGTCTTCATCAGTTTCATGTCCAAGATGATGCAGTGTCAAGACTGGATGGACTGGACTCTGGGGAACAGTTTGGGCCACTTGTCCATTTTCAGCAGTTTGTTGCTGCTGAGTCACAGTAACAATTTTAACAGGGTGCACAGTAAAAATAGGCTTTTGTTAACCATGAATGGGGAAATCTACTTCTAAAAGTCTAGTAACGAACAGGAACCAAGCCATGTCCTTGACAGATTAGAATGACTTAAATTGATAAATGCATGTCAGGTTGATGGATCACCTGACAAGGGAAACGTTTGTGAAGAAAGCCTGGGTGAACTGAGTGAAGTCCTTCTGTGTGCTGTTTCCATCACCATGGTTTCAGAAGCTTTGGTGCTGATATGGCTCCTTTAATAGTTGATTTGCTAAGTTAATTCCTCCAAGACTTCACCTGGAATTTCTTCTTCTGCTTAAGATGACACATGTAGTTCCTTGCACAACAGGTCTCTCTTTACCGAATCTAGTGTATTCTCCAAACCAAACAACAAGAGATTGTTGCCTGACAATAAGATGTATTGTGCTTTAAAGCTCTTGTGAGGTTCATAGTGTCTGAATGGATGGTTAATCGTCTTTAAGACAGACTTGTGACTTTTGGTGGAAATTTGTGGCCTGAAGGAGTCACATTAATACATCTCAGTATAATACAACTCGTTCAGTTTATTTAACTGTAGTCACTTTCTATCATAAAACTCAAAGACTTTAAGAAATTAAAGATTTTTTGAGGGGTTGACATATTTCATTGATTTTATGACCTGATGCATTCTGCATAGAGGGTGGATGACTTAGCTGTAGAGTGACCACCTAATCCATGTCAGGAGGGACACTATGAGCTACAACAGGGTTTGTAAACTACCATTCCAACCATTTCAATTAAATTGACCCAGATTTCACTTAAGTACTTGCTGTGTGTCGATTGATCAGTCTCCAATAATCATGCGTGTGCCAGTAATGTTAAACAGCTGGATAAGTCTGTCAATCAATGAAGCAAACCAGTAAAAGTACAAGATGAACCGAGCAATTTAGCCGAGCATAGGAGCCTTTCGGTTTTACAGTAGTTTGTAAAACCCGGAGTAGCTCATCGTGTCCCTTCTGACATGGATTAGGTGGTCGCCCAACTCATCTGATTTATGTAACTCATAACGGTCCACCAGTGTCATTACAATCATAAAAAAGATAAAATGTACTCATAGGTATACAGTACCTCTCATTTCAGGCCGGCTGGCTACAGCTGATTCTGCAGGTTCTTTTCTCAAGATGTCCTTATGGCATATTCTGTCATTTATTTTCTCCAAGGTTGCTTGTGTGACGCCATCCCTGATGAACATTGACAGAAACCATTCTTCCAGCTAGGGAACAATGTGAGTTGATCCATAATACTGTCAACTGCAGGAGCAATTTCAAGATCCTTAGGACTGAACATCACCTTTCTTGATGCCTTTTGGTCCTCGTTACTTCCTGGACAACTAAAGTGAGTGAGTCCCCCCCCCCATCCTCACCACATTCTATAGAAGCACTGAGAGATTTCTAACCAGCTGCATCACTGTCTGGTAATACAACTGCAACCTATCCGACCACAAGCACCTGCAGATGATAGTGAAGACAGCAGAGAGCATTATTGGGGTGCCTCTCCCCTCTCTACAGGACACATTTCACAAACACAGCGTCTGCAAGGCCTGCAGCATTGTGAAGGACCTTTCACACCTCTCACGTGGACTTTTCAAACTTTTGCCATCCAAGAGAAGATCAGCATCAGAGCCTGATCTGCCAGGCTGCAGGATAGTTTTTACCCCCAGGCTGTTAGACACCATGCTGTCCCACAGGAATCATGTCACTATATTCTCCACTACCTCATACTGTGCTTTGCTATATTTATTTATTTATTTATTTATTTATGTATGTATCCATACTGCAAAAACATATTGCTTAACACTTCTTGTCTTAGTTTTGTACTGACGTGTATGGCTTTCCACAATGTCTTATGTTGTTCATTTATTTCACTCTCAGTTTTGCACACATATTTTGTTACACTGTGGAACCTGAGCACCGAAATTTCGTCTCTCTGTATACTTGTATATGGCTGAGATGACAATAAAGTTTACTTTGACTTTGACATAAGATGGACAAAATCAGTCTTTTAAAGGCTGGATCTAGGCAGCACCTTTCAAACTTTGGGTATGACAAAAGATATGACTATCCATCCATTCATCCATCTTCTGAAACCACTTATCCTATTTAGGGTTATGGGGGGTCTGGAGCCTATCCCAGAGGTTATGGGCACAAGGCAGGGAACAACCTGGGATGGGGCACCAACCCATTGCAAGGCACACTCACACACCATTCACTCACACACGCATACCTATGGGCAATTTGGTAATGCCAATCCGCCTCAGCATGTTTTTGGATCGTGGGGGAAAACCAGAATACCTGGAGGAAACTCCATGACGACACAAGGAGAACATGCAAACTCCACACCCATGGAACCCTGGATTAAACCAAG